TTCCCAAAAAAGTGACAAGAGGTGAAAATATTTTGATAGCACTTACATGGACATGATATAGTTATGGATCTGGATTAAAACGGAGAAATATGGGATATGATATAAATTTCAGTGCAGCATCTGGACTGCAATGGAAATAGCGGGCCCTGGTGGCTGAGAAAGGGAGGGTGGGGGAGAGAGGCGTTTCAGGGAAAGCAGCGGAGAGGAAGAAGCTGTAACGCCCAGAACCAGATGCCAATTATCTCTGGTAACCAGGAATACGCAAATATAAAGGGAGCGGTGAGTGACAATGCCTGGTGTGTTGGGGACCGGGGGATACCGGCAGGCATCCTCGCAGGTCAAAGTGGTAACTGGGGATCTAAGCTCCGCGGTGACGGGCGGCCCTCACGTGACCAGCCTATGTTAGCCCAAGTCCCTTTCCTCCCGGTCCTTTTTGCCTGTACAGACATTAATCTCCCTATTGCCCTTTGGTGGAGGGGAAACCAGAAGGAAGTAAGCTCCCTCGATCTCTTAAATCAGTGTGAGGGTCGGTGCTGCCTAGGAACCCCTGGGATCCGGAAGGCGGAAAGTCCCGACCTCTTCCCTACGCCCTAGTACCGCGCCCACATTTTGGTGCAGAAAAATGGTGGTCTTCAGGTGCGGTGGGAAAGTGAATGAGGCCCTGGGAAGGAAACACTTAGAATCAGCTTCTAAGTATTTCTTCGCTTCCACTTTCCTAGTGTTGCGCGGTGGAGGGGAGGAGGGCCAGGCAGGCCCAGGCTTAATTAGAGGTTTGTGTGAGGGGCAGGAAACCCACAAGGGGGAGACACCGGAGTAGGGGCGACGGAGTGTGCCCAGAAAAGGGGCGTGCCAATCAGGCCGTCCCTACCCCCACCGACTCCCCCTACCCTACCCGGTCTCGCGTCAGTCTGTCTGCAGGTCACAGCGGGCACCTCAAGGAGAGGACGACCAGGAGCAAACCGTCGGGAGAGGTGCAGGTGGGGAAAAGGTGGGCGGTGGATTGAGCTGGGGTACCGGAGTCGGCGCTGAAGCCACGCAGTCTGCGGGCCCGGCGCCCCGCCCCTAGCTCTGCAGCCTGCCGCGGCCTGCGGCAAGGCCTGCTGGGAAAACAGTGGGATTTCGGGAAGGAAGGGGCGAACAGCATAGAAGGGAAGAGACGCGGCGGGGTGCGGAGAGCCCGAGAATCTCCAGGTAAGCATAGTTTGAGGACCTGGGCCCCGAATCAGGAAAAGGCAGGTTATTGGCATGGCTGGGGTATTGGCCTATCCACCAAATGCTATCTCTATTGGCTTTTTCTTGTCTCCTAAGAATAACTGTGCTTAAAGAAGAAAATTCTCAGCATGGAAAAACCATCCAAAGAAAATGTAGAAGAGCCAGAGAGCGCGCCAAAGACCACTGAGGAACGTCCTTCCGTGGAGCCCTCTCCCGAGGAGGAGGAGGAGGAGGAGGAGCAGTCGTCGTCGGAGCAGTCGTCTGAGGAGCAGTCTTCGTCGGAGGAGCAGTCGTCGTCGGAAGAAGACGTCTTTCCTGAGGAACTCCTTCCTGAGCTTCTTCCTGAGATGCTGCATTCGGAGGAGCGCCCTCCTCGGGAGCGCCTTTCTAGGAAGTACCTTTTTGAGGAGCGGCCTCCAATGGAGCAGCCTCCTTGTGGAGTAGGAAAACATAAGCTAGAAGAAGGAAGTTTTAAGGAAAGGCTGGCCCGTTCTCGCCCGCAATTTAGAGGGGAGATACATGGCAAAAATTTAAGCAATGAGGAGATGATAAAGGTAGCAGAGGAGATGGAAGAGATGAAAAGAGTAAGAAATAAACTGCTGATAATGCACTGGAAGGCAAAACGGAACCGCCCTTATCCTATTTAATGCGTTCCGCCTTGAGTTCTATTTTGCCTGGTTTCTTTGCATTTTCTTATGTACCTTTTGTCATCTTATTAATTGTAACTTTTTATGTGGCTTAATTTTAGGTGTTTCTCTTGTGACTGGCATAAAATTGTTTTTTTTCCCCTGTAATCTGCCAGTCTTCCACATGCAGTCATGAATTTCACCCATTGGCATGAAGTTGTACCTTATGTATTGTGAAGTGCAAAAAAGCAACTTTCAAAAAGTATAGTATCCCATTTTTGTAAAAAAAAATATATATATATATAGTAATATGCAAAGAGAACAGTATATACATAACCTAAAACAGTGGCTATCTGTGATAATAGGTGATATTTAGTTTTTTTTGCTTTATCTGAATTTCTCGGTTGTAAAAATTTTATTTATTTTGTTGTTTCTTGTTTTTTCAAGATTAACACATTTTACTTGTGTTGCAAAAAATTAATATAATGAAAAAAAATGCAGTTTTTAAAAACCTGTCAGTTTATGAAGACAATATAGCACTTAATAAATATTTGTCAAAATTTAAGAAAAGTAAATCCCATGTTTCTTCTGAAATCTCTTAGATAGAAATATAAACCAAGTACTTATTACATTTAAGAGTCAGTTTTTTCCTAGTTAAATAGGAATAAAACTTGCCTTATAGGGCTTCGGTGGAACCAGATGAGAGAAAGACTGTAAACTGTGTGTGCCTCTTTTGCCCATCTGCACATTCAGGACCCTAACCCTATAGATTTCCCTTCAGATATAGGGGATAGTACCCAAAGGAAGTCTGACTTGTGCTCACAAACAATTCCTGTGAGTTTCTAGCTGGGTGTCACATTCTATTTGTTTCTTCTTCTGTTCTTCCTTTGAATAATGCTGTGTCTGCTAGGCATAGCAGCCCTTTCTGCTGGGTCCTGCTCCTTCCAGTGGCCCCTATCACTACCAATACGCTGGAGTCCTCACTGACTGTACTGGAGTCCCTTGTGGTCCAAAGCTGAACTATGTATCCTACAGAAACATGGAGAATGTGCCTCTTCCAGCTTTATTATTACACTTATTCGGGTGGATACTGTTACAATGGTGCTTAGACATCAATGTCTTAAAGAAGCCTTAGCAAAATTGTCCTTCCCATTTTTTTTTTCTTTCGTACAGCCTCCTATTTCTCTGTTGGACTCAAACATGAGTTCACTGTGACCTGAGCTAGGAGACAAATTTGTGTACCAGACACAATGCAGTATACTCAAGAGTTAGAGCCTCCCTCCCAAATGATCTCCATGGTTTTAACTGCCTAACTTGCCTAGGAGCTCTGGTAGCATAGTGCCTAAGGCACTTAACTGCTAACCAGAAGGCTGGCGGTT